CCTCAAGCCCATTTCCACTACAGATTTTCAGATTCCCCTCTTTGGACTATTATGTCTCCCCTCTAACCAAAATTTTCCAAAAATAAAAAATCTAAAAATATAGATTATGAGATCATATCAAAATTAAACTGATGAGACTAACATATTAAGGTAAAATAGAGACAAAAAATCACAACTACCAAAAAAATGATTATAATACTACACTAAAACAATATTGTTATTGTCACTGATGAAGAATTCAGCTCTTACAATCACCTAATGTTATGTGGCAGTATCACAAACATGGCTAAGAAGACTTCAGATCTCCCTTTCCCTTTCTAGTTTCTATTCACATACTCAAAGCAAAGCTTAAACACAGCTGCTAGTGGATGAAACTTTTGAGGGGATAGTTATGTAAAACTTTTGGGTTAATATATTTGTATGAACTTTGATCAACAAAATAAACATTCTGGTCAATTTTTTCGATTTATAACATCATGGCCCAAACTATACATCAAAATAACTAAATTGGCCAAACCCGACGTTTGACCGTTAACTTGGATGGTCAAACGTGTTGACTAACGGTCAACGCGCCACATCATCGCCCAGTCAGCACAGAACACTTAAAAAATTGATTATTTCCATCTATTACCATTTATCTTTTTTATTGTTTTTTCTTTTCTTTTCATATTTATTTTTAACTTAATTGAAATAATGAGATTATGTGGCTTTTTTGAATTTTTTATGCTGACTGGGCGGTGATGTGGCGCGTTGACCGTTAGTCAACATATTTGACCGTCCAAGTTAACGGTCAAACGTCGGGTTTGGCCAATTTAGTTATTTTTTATGTATAGGTTGGGCCAGGATGTTATAGATCGAAAAGATTAGTCAAGATGTTTATTTTGGTCAAAGTTCAGGCCATACAAATATAATAACCAAAAACTTTTCATATAAAAGTCTTGGTTAAGCATCTACTATTCATTAATAATTTTATTTTAATTTTACCAAAGTTTAAAATTAATTTTACCAAAGTTTAAAGGTCAATCTTTCAAGAGTGACATATGACAATCTTTCAAAGAGACATATGTCAACATTTTTTTTACTTTTAGTTTTCAAACTTATGTTTTCCATATTTCATTTCTCTCCCTATTTCTTATATTTTTGTTTGTTGTTCTTAATCGATTTGTCATTTGATTTGATTTTGTATGCTTACTCATCTATCTCGGTAGAGACATGCTTTCGTATTTGATTTTGCATGATTAGTCATCTCTCCCGATCAAAATCGTATATGATATTAACGATAAAAATCTCTCTCAATCGAGAAGAACAGAAGTAGCATTGGAACCGACGAAACTAAATACTATGTTCTTTCGCCTTTTCCTTTGATTTTGTTGATTTATTATATTCTTTTTTTTTTATCTTAGTTGACAATCCAAGATAAATTCTAAATTTATCTTTTTGTTTGTTGGGCAAAATAAGACACATAAGACACATAATCTAATGATAAATTCTATAATTAATAGTTGTCAAACTCCAAATCAAAAAAATACTTTTTCATCAATAATTTGTAGATCGTCCTCCTATGATCCATAGCCTCATTGGTCATAGTGCAAATTGCTACGGAGTTCTCTCACAATATCTTTGTGATTTTTCTTGTTGCTTTTCCAATTGCCTTATGAATTATATTTTGTTAAATGTTTCATACAACAGAATTAAAGTGTTACTTTCAACTCACTGCGTAGCGCAAGCGAACATGCCAATATTGATACATAAAAGCCTTGGTTTCGCATTTACTATTTATTAAGAGGGTTTTGTTTAATTTTCATCAACTTTAGTGGCATTACACTAAAGCCACATATTTGGATAATTTTCATTTATTTTGCCATTTTCTGTTCATTTGCAACTTGCAAGTAAACACCTATTTATCTCATTTTCCCTTTTTCATTTATTTTAATAACACATGGCCTCTAAAAATCTTTTAGAAATCCTCTTTTATATTTCTTTTATTTTATACTTTGGTTTTTGTTGTTGTTAAATCGACATCTTTGTTCGTATTTGATGCATTTTCCGCCTATGTGTTTTTCATTCTTGAATTTTTATTTATTGGTATTTTTATAGTTTTTTTACTATTCAACTAAAAGTAGACCGGTCACGCTTATTCGGATCACGTATATCGGTGAAAGATTTTCCAATTATGAATTCTTTTAAATTGACCTTTGTGAGTATTCTGGCTATTCAACTACATGTCGTTTGATCATGCATATTTCAATCACTGTGTTTCGATAATCCATTTTCCATTTTTGAATCCTTATCAATAGAACAAGAGAACCACATAAATTAATTGATTTTAACTAGAAGTTCGTATTTGGTTTGTCCCTATTATTTATCTATTTGACAATTTGCTAGATCTAAGGACACCCTCACGGTGGGACAACGGAGTCGCTACAATAGTACCCATGGAAGAACAAGAGTACCACATTAATTATTTTCAAAATGTTTTTGTTGTTCCCGAATTGGTACCTATTCATTGGCCAACAAGTCCATTTTGTATTGTTTGCGTCACCTTATTGCAAAATGTGTTTTCTTGATTTTTATTTAGTTGCTTAGATTTTTCTATTCATCAAATGAATAGTCCTGCATTTTATGGGTTGTGTTCTTTACAAATTAATTTATTCTAATCACATCTAGTCTTTCACATTACTCATTCTACGCGAAGCACAACGAGCGGGCATATCTAGGATAAAGAAATGCTTTATCTTGAGATGAGAGACAAAACAAAACCCCACCACTACAACTAAATTGCTTCTCCCAACTCCTTCATAGTAATCACATAACTCCTTTGATTTCCTGCTTGTGTATATGTTCCAGAAAGCATGTCTCAGTTTCTTAACTCTGCCCTTTTTTCCCTCTATCTGGCATAGGCTAAGATTTGTGCACATGCACCATCATGAGGACAAATTTGAAACCAAAAGTTAGAAATGACAGATTACACCACAGGCAGAAAGAAAACTCTTTGGGAACATATGGACAATGATGTTCCCACTTTCTATGGTTGGTTTACCCCAGCAATTATGCCAACTATGTCGCAACTCAAAACAGCCAGAAAACTTTGAAGACATGAGATATGCTCTCAATTTGTTAATCAGAAGTGCATACAGCCTGAGCACTAATGGAATGTGTAAGAATCATGGGTATTTGGGGAAGAATAGAGAGAGAATGAGAAGAGAATTAGGGTTAGGGATTGAGAATAGAGAAGAATTGGGAAAGAATTTGGGAAAAATAGAGAGAAGAAGAGATAGGAATTCAGTAATTTCAATATTATTCTTTGCTTAATCTGGGAAAAACAGTGTCCTCCCCTTAAATAGTACTGGCAAATAACAAAATACTACCCGACTAATTAGGGATGACAATTTTGCCCATACCCATGGGTTTTTTTACTATCCAAATAAATTGGGTTGGGTATGAAATCCAAATAAATGGAGATGGGTAGAGTTTGATGGGTTTGTACCCATACCATTTACGGATCGTTTGCTTGAGGGTTTTGGTGATGGATTTGGTCATGGAAATATATCCATCATGGACTTGAACCGAAATCCATCGTTTGCCTTAGGGAATTAGGAAGATGGAATTTGTGGGGCCCACCTCTTTTGGGGTTCCAAATCCGTGGACCCCACGGACTTTGAAGTTCCACCTCTTGAGGTGGGATATGGGTGATGGATTAAAATCCATGATGGTAAATTACCATTCTACCCTTAATTATTTCTTTAATAAATTTTTACTACTTTAATTCAATGGTCATGCAACTATAAACTTTTATAATTTCGTATTTTATAAATATGAGAATTTATCATTTTATTTTGTAATATCGTATTTTATTTAAATATGAATGTATATGTGATTTGTTAGATTCACCTAAAAACACTTTATGCTCATCTTGTGCATTATTATTTGATTGACTGTCGGATTCCACATCGGTAAGTTAGCAAGAAGATGATGAGTTGTAGCAATAAAGCGAGCAATTGGTTGCAATTGATACATAATAATGCGTACATTATTAGATGAATTGTTAATTAGTGCCAAATTGAAATACATTTCTATATTTGTAGTTGAATTATTAATCCACATAGTGGTAAAGAGTTTAAAATTTCTTTCTATGTTTTGGATTAGTTTTAAATGAAAGATTTGGATTATAATATAGAAATATAATTAAATAAGGATAACAAGGTAATTTATATTTAATATCCACATATCTAATCAAACAAAGGTCATAATCAAATCCATCAAGCAAACAATAGACTTGTTCAAATCCATAATACCACACAATCCATCATATATCCATGGTTTTCCAAAGCCCAAGTTTTACCAAAACCCTCATTTTTCAAATCCATGAAGCAAACGACCCGTTACTTGGGTTGGGTTTATAACAAATAGATTTGGGTTTGTACCAATGCTCAAATGTAAATTACAGTTGGTACCTAAACTTAATAGATACGCATATTTAGTACCTAAATTTAATTATTTTTGCATATAAGTCGTCAAAATATCGATGAAAATTATATTTTGGTATCTAATTTTTTTTGGTCTTACATTTTGGTACCTAAACTTTTCAAGTTTTGCAAATAGGTCCAATTTTTGTATGTGTAGTTAAAACACCCTCAAGTAAATGGATATCCATATCCAACCCATACCCATTTAGATTATGAAAGCAATATCCATACCTTACCCAAACCCATCTACAAACTCCCAAACCAATATGCACTTCACTCATACCCAACCCATTATAAATGGATATACTTGGATTTGGGTATAATTACCCATGGGTGGGTAATTGCCATCGACTAACCCACTAGGGCCGAGCCCTTCACCCCCTCCCACTCGGCCTAACCCGTGTTTCTAACAGAATGAAGATGCAGATAGAAGCTACCAAGAAGCCTGTATCTTTTCATCCCTTCCACTGCTGTTAAATGCCATCAAAGATACACACAAGTTATATTTTGATGCACAAGGTTATAACTGTGTTTTTACAGGTCATCCTCGACTATAGCAGCAACATTGAGAAGCAAAACTTCTCCAGCTGGCATGCTTCGAACACGATTAAGTAGTGCTGAAATCTTCCTATGAACATAACTAAACCGATCTTTGCTTCGGATACACTGATCGGTCGGTAGAGATGCAGCAAGAAAAAGGAAGGGTTGAACACACTCATCAGTCATCACTGTTGCTTTCAGCATTGTGATCTGCTTCCGCAGAGCTCCTCCAGCGGACTGGGAAGTATTTTTCTGGGAGCTTAAATATTCGCTATCCATTTTCTTAAAATATTGTACGAGATATGACCCATCTGGAAGTTCTTGTGCTCCATATTGCATGGACATCACAATTTCGTGCTGAAAGATGTTGAAAGCGCAAGGTGTGAGAATGCTCCGTGCATGCTCTTCGATAGGTGTGGATGCTTTGATGGGCGAATAGTAAATCCCGGTTATGGCGTGAATCGCTTAGTTGGCGGCAGCATTGACCTAGAAGATCCACGAAAAGGTTTGAAGAGCCGAAGATAAAAGTTAAAACATCAAAGCCAACAAGCAATTATAACCCCACATGGAGTAATGGGAGTAAGTTACCTGCTCAAAGAACACTTGCAAACATGACTGTCCATTCAGAATCCTTTTCAAGAACAATTCGCACGACTGTGAGAACTCGGGAGCCGACGTAAGAGCCAGAAAGCACCCTCGAACATAAGCCATTGACCAGGATCCTTTATACGAGTAGAGCAAAGCAACATGCTTATCTGAAACAAGTCCAAAAGCGAAGAGAACCAGCTAGACAACTTGGACATGATCACATGACATGACATGTCGTATACATATAACATCTGGCGACTCCCTTGCAATAGCATCCCTAATCCCAGAATCTATATCCGTTAGAATCGTCTGTGGCTGCCTACCTCTCATAAACCGAACAAAAGTCTGTAAAGCCCATGCAAAAGAGTGACAACTTTCATTTCGAAGCAAGAAACATCTGAAAAGAACAGCCTTCCCATGATTATCCATGCCAAATATCACTCCTTGTAGCAAGACATAAGACTTAGGTTATCAAATGATAAGTTGTATCGAGGTACACGACATCTCCATACAATGCATAGGTGGATCTAATGGATTCCCCATATGTCCATGCAGCGTTCTCAACCTTTTCATTTACACCTGTGGTATTCTCATAAGCAAAAGTATTGTCCCTCTCTACCATACCCTTGCATGCTTCGAGAAGCTCCAATGTACCGTTCTCTTTCTTCTCCATAAGCAAAGCATCATTTTCTTGAACAGTCTTCTTTCAGGTCCTTATGAAGTTTTTCACATCCTTCTCTATGAAGGAAAGTTGCCCAGGTTGAACTCCCTTTTCCAACTCCAACACTTACACTATCCGATTTACAGGAAATCCTGCCTCGGATAACAAGAAAATACGTTCTTGATCTGCTTCAAGGACTTTTCTATATGCAGGTAAAAGTCGAACTTGATCATCTTCTAACAACTCATGATTGTGCACATTGCTGAATTGTGAGACATACCACTGAGCAACACCATCACCTATTTTCTCCATTAAATACAACTTTGTATCACATCCAGATCGAACTGACCCTCGGCCCCTGGGATGCTCCACATCAGCCTTTTTCCTAGGCTGATTAAATCCAGACCGGTATCAAACAAAGTCACGTCTATAGACTCCTAGCTTTTGGTTGATAGTGCTTTGCTGATTGAGAAGCCATTCTTTCGAGCAAAGTTGCTGTAGTACTCAAAGGCATCAGAGTCGGTCTTGAAAATCTGACCGAATAAGGTGTGAAGAGTGGTTCGGCCAATGGTGACGATGATGCCATTTGCTCATTCTTCAGTATGCTAGAGTTAAATGATGTTGATTGATGATCTCCATCGGACCTAAGGCAGCACTTCCAGTCTCCGCATGGGCATTGTTGTCGTCCAATTTATGTTGCTCAATGGCTTTGTAGGCACAAGCTCCTTTCTGGTACAACAGGGAAAAGTTCAAATTAGATATCAATGTGCCATTCATCTGCAATTCCATAATAAGATTCTCCAAATCAACAGTGGCTGATAAGTTGATAACTGCAAAATGAAGCTATAAAGTCATCATTCCCAATAGATAACGGATTAACTTGAGCTCAGAAATAAGAGCAACTCGTAGGGGTGACCGTAGACATGAATAGTGGGTCAGTAAAAGATTGAACTGGAACCAGTAGCTGAGATCTACAACTCACAACAAAATTTCGTACATAAACTGATAACCCAATCTGTCAACGCTGTGGCAATGCAGAACTCAGGTTCTCAATCAAATCGAAAAGCTCTACCCAAGTGAAGGAAAGATAAAAAGGTGGCTGCTTTACGGAGATCCTATATAGTTTTTCTGAACGGGAGATCCCATAAAGTTAAGAATTCAGCAACGGAAGAGAGAAAAAGAAAGCTAGCTTTGGAACAAGAGCACCAGACATCATCTAATTGCAAATAGTGGAGGACTTGTCATCATCTAATTGCAAATAAACTATATAAAATAGAAAACAACCATTCGTTCTACAGAAGATTATGTAAGTGAATTAATAAGTGAGCTTAGAGAACTCCCTTTACTACCTAAAACATATGGTTTTAAGTTCTACCAGTAATCCCGGCATGAGCATTCTCCATCCTCAAAATGATGAAACCTATTGGAATCTCTAACCACAATCTGCCTTCCTTCAATCTTCGATATCAACTTCAGAGCAGTGTGACAATCACCACAAACCCTCAGATTCTTCATAACCCTAATCGGTGCCTTCCCTCCACCACGACTCAAAACAAATGCCACAGCAAGCTTCTCACTATGATAACTCAACAACTCTTCCTTGCTCTCCAGGTCAACATCATAGAAAGCAAACCCCGTCTCTGCAACATACCCTGCATCCTTCATCTTCCCCTTCAACTCCTTCAACTTCTCGTATATCGAATCCATCTCCGGATGAAACTTGTCTCCGGCCACAAACACGTGGACCCTGTCTTTCATCGACACCCAACTACACCCTGCTTCCTTCTTCACCAAGGCATCTCTCATTGCCCTTCTGGACCTTGCCACTTCATCCCATTGCCCTCCTGATGCATACATGTTTGACATAAGTACATAGTTTGTTGCGTTATCGGGCTCCATCTCCATTAGCATTATGGCGGCTCTCTTCCCTAGCTCGGTCTTCCGACCATTTGATCGACCACAGGCGCCTAGAACCGTCCTCCAGATCAGAGTATTGGGCTTCATCGGCATTGAGTTGATGAAATTCTCCAACTTTTCAAGCTGCCCTGCTCTTCCTAGGAGATCTGCCATGCAGGAATAATGCTCGATTCGAGGTTTCAATCTGTATTTCTCGGTCATCGAGGTGAAATGGCCAAACCCTAAATCAACCAGTCCAACATGGCTACAAGCTGATAACACTCCAACGAAGGTGACGTGATCAGGAAGCAACCCACCTAGAGCTTCGAGCTGTGAAAACAGATCCAGAGCTTTTTCACCGTGCCCATGTCGAGCATACCCCGATATCATCGAGTTCCACGAGTATAAATTCCTAACGGGCATCGAGTTGAAGAATCTTGATGCATAGTCAACTCTACCACATTTCGAGTACATGTCTACCAGAGCACTTCCAATGACTACATCGGACTCCAGACAAGATCTCAATGCAGCAGCATGGACTTCTGCACCATGTGCCAGTGTGGCGATGGAAGCACAAGCACTGAGAACGGTGGCAAAGGTGAACCGGTCCAACCGTTGACCCGTCTGCATCATGGAACAGACCAAATCCATGGCTTCCGATAGCATCTCGTTGTGGATGTAACCAGAAATCATCGAGTTCCAGCTGACTTCATCTCTTCGATTCGATATTCTCAAGAAGATCTTCTCACAGTCGTTCATCTCTCCACATTTGCCATAGGAAGCCAACAGGCCGTTTTCTAAAGCCAAGTCATCAGCCATGTGGCGTTTCAGCAACATGACGTGGATTTGAGGGGTGAGTTCATTAAGGGAGAGAAATGAGACTGCAGTGAGGATGTTGATGAAGGTTACTCTGTTGGGATTCCATCCAGCTCTCATCATTTCCAGGAAAGTTTCTACCGAGTTAGAAGCCAAAGTGTCTGAATTAGCATATGCTCCAATTGCGGTGTTCCACGAGACCAGATCGAGATCTGGCATCAACAAGAAGGCCTTCTGACATTCAGCAAGATAACCAGTTTCAGCATATAGTGCAAGAAGGGAATTCGAAACTGAAACGTCGAGTTCAAGTCCGAATTTTATCACTTCGCCGTGTAACTGTCGTCCTAGCATGATCCAACTCAAGCTTGCGCATGAACTCAAAGCACTAATAAATGCAAAATTCGACGGCTTTAAACCGGTCCTTCTCATTTGGCGGTATCCGTCTACTGCATCTTCAAAACACTCGTTCTGGTCAAGCCCAGAAATCATGGAGTTCCATGATACTGAATCTTTGTTCAACATGAGGTCAAACACTGATCTGGCGTTAAAAATATCAGCGCATTTGGAATACATGTTGATAAGGCCATTACCTATTGAGACCTTGATTTCGTTGAACCCATTTCGGATCACGCATCCATGAACTTCTCGACCCTTTCTTCTTCCTTCCTCTATTGTAGAGAACTCGGGAAAAGAACTCAACAGTATAACATATGAATCGAGATTTATATCGACTGAGCTTCTCATTTCAGTGAACACTTCAGCTGCTTGTTCTCCGCATTTGTGCCGAACCAGTCCAACCATTAATCCGTTCATGGAGACGAAACTGCGAGTGGTCATCTGCTTCAGAATCTTCCTAGCATAATCGAAAACTCCAGACCTAGAAAACCCACTCACCAAAGCACTGCCCACGTAGAGATCTGACAGAAAGCCTGATTTTTCAACCCTGACAAGAATCTGCTCCAGCAAAGATGAGCTGGAAGAACAAGCAACAGTGATCAAACTTCCTAAGGTATACTCGTTGGGATTGGAGCCAAATCCGGAATCTTTTTGCATGTTGGAGAATAGTTCAAAAGCAGAGACAGAATCCCCACGTTGCGAGTAAACTGATATGATGGAGTTCCATGATACAGAATTCCTAACTTTCATCTCATCAAATACACGACGAGCGCTTTCAAAATGTTCTGCCTGGATGCTGCTTCCGTACATCGATATCAAAACGTTGGAGAGAACTGCATCGTGTTCATGAGGAGACTTTAGAATCCAGCCATGAATCTGCATGCCGAGTTTAATCCCTTCTGTACCAGTCGCCTGGCAAGCTCGAAATGCACTCCCGATAGCAAAGCGATTTGGCTGAAATCCTTCGCAAACCATCCCTTTAAATGTCTTACAAGCCTCTTCGGGCATACCATTCTGGGTATATCCAGTAATCAAACAAGCCCAAGTGATGCCATTTCGGTCAGGCATTTCGTCGAATAACTTCCGGGCGGTATCCAAACGGCCAGCTCTGACATAAACATTGATAAGGGTATTGCACAGGAACAAATCACCATTGAACCCGTGTTTGAGCAAACCCAGATGAAACCTGTCCGCATCCTTGGGCGAAGATGAGTCCTGATATCGACGAACCAAGGACTCGTAAAAATCTCCAATATGACTCGAATCGGAAGCAATTGGCAAGATAGGTCTGCCGCTTGTCTCTAGAAGCGAGAATCTTCTGAACTCCGGAAACGAGATGTGGTCGGCCGGGCGTGGGATTATTAAGGGAAGTTTGGCGTTCTGTGACCTAAAGGCGAGAGGGGTTTGCGGTGGCGGCGGCCGTGGTGGTAAAGAAGGCGGGACGGTGAAAAGGCTGAAACTAGATCGGGTAGTGTGGAGAAATAATCGGCTTCTGTTGCGGGTGTAAGCTGGGAGGGCGCTGAACATGCTATGATTGAAAGAACAAGCACTCTCTCATTCATGGCTCTTTGGCGCGCTCTAGTGGAAGGTCAAAGCTTGAAGAGCTTGATCAAGACGTTCGGCGACAAAACGGAAGATTTTTTGTGTCGCCTTTGTTTGCGGCCGAGCTTTTCCCTATATGCGCGAACTTTTCAATTTTATTCTTTGCTCATTTATTATTATTATTATTATTATTATTATTATTATTATTATTTTCATAGCTTGGAGGCGCAAGGCCAAAGAAAAGAAGCAGCAGATACAGAGGTTGGGAAGAGGTGAGAAGGGATGAGGCCACCACTCTTCTAGAGAACGTGATGCCTCTCTGATTACCATGCAAAAGGGAGAGAACTTTACTTGGCGGTGATTCCACCTCGTATATACCGTAGGGATAGACGAGACTGTGCTTCGAAAGCCAGTCTGTGACTCTATTCCTTTCCCGGTAAGTATGAGTTAGATTCACCACCCAATCATGTGCAATCTTGCGTCTAATAGCCGTTAATAGTGCCGCATAGGGATGAAGGGGGTCTGTCCTCTTATTCACCAACTGTATAACCATTTGTGAGTCCGTCTCTAAAATGAGAGCCCTGCATCCTGTTGACTCCGAGGAAGAAATCAGTTGCGGGAACAAACTGATAACTCTTCTTCCTTCTCTCAAACAGATTGTAAAGAAGAGATAATTTATTGAATTGGGAAGGGAATTACAGTAAAAAAAATTTTATACAAGAACTTTCTAATCCATGCCAACGTGGTTGGCACTTTGAAACTCTCAAACAACAACCTACTTCCCAAGCCTAATTCACCCAGATGACACACTGTGAATCACACTACTTAAGTAATACACTTATGGACCCAAAGTAGATGAAGAACTCTCTTGTTTCTCTCACTACAGACTGCCAAGAACTAATTGAAGGAGAAGAGTAAGTATTTATACTAAGAAGAGAAGATGACCGTTGCTGATAGCTTGATGCGCACCTGAATTTCATCATGATCTGCCATGGAGTCGGTGGTGTCTGTGGAACATCATCGAGGAACTCCTTGGAGTTTTGCTGCCGCTCCTTTTAGATGGGAGGCTAGGTTTGAGCAGAACGATAGTCCTAGTCTGAGGAGAAGACTTGGAAGGACGAATCCTTCGACGGTGCCGTTGCAGGGTAAACGTTGTCGTGTGGTCAGAGTATAGAAGAGAGAAAAACGTCGTCGTTCAAATAACTTGAGGAAGACGACACCTTTCTTCAATTTCCCCCTTCGTCCGAGAAGTTTGGGACAACCTGAAAAATAAAAGACAAAAGAAAAGACAACAACACTCGAAAAGAAACAACAACTACTTTTATATTACTAGGAGGCCAGGAGAGAATTACAAAATATGGGGAGACAGAGGGACTAACAACTACAAAAGGAACCAACTCCTTTTTAAAAAATTCCCCCTGAACACCAGCATACACCCGAGGTGCAGCAGGAAACTACTTAACAAAAACTTAAAGCTACAGGAACTACGAAGCTAAAGAAGAATTCCCCCTCAGAACAAGCAGGGATATTAGGAGGCAGGAGAGGAAGGCCTTCTAGGGCAGAAGCAGCTGAGTCATCTGAGGAAGAGTTTCCATCAGAAACTGTAAACACCAAGTGTGCATTTTTACTGGATTCACCAGCAACAGATTTTCCCTTTTTGGTGGACACAGGTTTTGGGCGAGGACCCAAAATGGAAGACGAGGGAAGAGGAGCAGGTGAAGGTGCAATGTCAGTAGGAAGGTCTAAGATCATCAGCACATTGAGGGCACCAACATACATAGTGTGGGACACACTTCGGTAATCTGACAGATCAATCCCCAGGTTAACCAGTAGTCGAGTGATGATAGATCCAAATGGTAGCAGCCCTTGGTAGTGCTCATCCCCAGCTGGAAGGAGGTTGGCAAACAGTAGGTTGGATTAGTCTAGCTTGCGTCCTGCAGTGGCGCTTGCAATGATCCAAAGATCAAGGGGCAGGACTACATCTAAGTTGTATGATCGAGGAAAGAAAACGTGAGTGATGAAGTGATGGAAAATCCTCAATCGTGGAGACAGCCAACTGATGGGAATAGTGCACATCAATCCCTCCTGTAGGTTCAGTGGAGAAGTTTGCATACTCAGCGGGTAGGATGAAGTCTTGTTTCCAGAACTCTGAGGGATGGGCTATATCGATCCCTTGAACTGGAAACCCAAGGATTCCATTTAGGGCTCCTATTGGAATGGTCAAAAGGTGACCATAGACGACTGTCGAAAAGCTTCTGGTGCTGATTCCTTGACATCTAAGATTTGAGTAGAAGTACTTGACTTCACCGGGACAGGCTGGATAGAGAGGTTGACAGAGGAGATAATCCCATCCCAGACCCTCTATAAGAGATATGATATCATACTTATAGAGATTGAACTCATAAGGGTCGAGTTGGATGATGTGGTGACCTTCTGTTTTCGAAATGCTGGAGGTGACGGTGATGGTTTATCACCACAGGCTCATGAAACATGTAGCCTGGATAGGTATGAACCAGCCCTTCGAATCGAAAGGGTCTTGGCAAATGATCGCTCATTTTGGGTGGTTTTGAGTTTGTTAATGGCAGGGAGAGGTTTGGGTGGCTTCACGTTTGTTGTTGTCGGAGAATAGTGAAGAATGGTGGGGTTAGAGGTTAGGTTTAAATAGAGCAGGAGAGCAGGGGAAGATGGGAATACGAAGAGTTTATTATGTTTTAACCGAGTGTAATGATTAAGGATAAAGCTGGAGTTAGTACGCATGAGCCGAAAAAGGAAGCTTGTTAAGTAAACCAAAACAAGCAAAGTGCCTAGAGCAAAACACACCCAATGAATTCTTTATCTTTTAGACCCTAGATTTGGCTAAAAGATCTTAATCCTAATTCGGTGCAGAGATAAGTGAAACGTTCACAAGATAGGGGTTTTGTGAATAGGTCGGCTAACTGGTGTTCTGTTGGTATAAACTGTAGGCATACATGGCCTGCTAGGACTAGATCTCTTATGTAATGATACTTTATTTCAATATGCTTAGTCCTAGAGTGTTGTACTGAATTTTTCGTCATGCATATTGCACTTGTATTATCACACCAAACAGGGATATTCTGAAATTTGAATCCATAATCGGATAATTGTGTTTTCATCCACATAATTTGTGCACAACAACTCCCTGCTGCAAGGTATTCCGCTTCAGCGGTTGATAATGCAACTGCTCCTTGCTTCTTGCTAAACCAAGAGACAAGAGCAGGTCCTAGAAATTGAATGCTTCCAGATGTGCTTTCCTATCAACTAAACTTCCCCCAAAATTTGAGTCGCTATAGCCTGAGAGATCAAAAGAATCAGAAAATGGATACCATAGTCCTAACTCAATTGTTCCCTTAAGATATCTGAATATTCGTTTTACAGCTTTCAAGTGACTATCCTTAGGATCTGAATGAAATCTAGTACACACCCCAACACTGAATTGTATATCAGGTCTGCTTGCGGATAGATATAGAAGAGATCCTATCATCCCTCTATACTTCTTTTCACAAATAGAAACACCAGCCTTGTCTTTGTCTAACTTTAAATTTGTAGCCATTGGTGTTTGACATGCATTTACTGTGTTCATGTTGAAGTTTTTAAGCATCGATTCAATGTAGCTAGTCTGACTTATAAACATCCCTGTATCTGTTTGCTTGATTTGCAGACCTAAGAAGTGGGAAAGTTCTCCCATCATACTCATTTCAAATTTAGATTTCATTAACTCACAAAAACTTGTACACATAATTGGATTGGTTGAACCAAAAATGATGTCATCAACATATATCTGTACTACTAATGTATCCTCATTTTATTTCTTAATAAAAAGTGTTTTGTCCACATTTCCTTGAGCAAAACCTTCAGTTTTCAGAAAAGAGGTTAGTTTTTCAAACCAAGCTCTAGGAGCCTATTTCAAACCATACAGAGCCTTTGACAGTTTAAAAACATGATCAGGAAATTTATGATCTATAAAACCAGGAGGCTGACTCACATACACTTCTTCTTTAATTTCGCCATTTAGGAAGGCGCTTTTAACATCCATTTGATATAAAGGGATTTTCATATAGCAAGCATAAGCACACAACATTCTTATAGATTCAATTCGAGCAACAGGAGCGAATGAATCTTCAAAATCTATTCCCTCTTCTTGTAGATATCCTTGTGCAACTAATCTAGCCTTGTTATTTGTTACTTCTCCAAGTTCATTTGTTTTGTTTCTGAACACCCACATTGTCCCTATGATTAACTTGTTAAAAGGTCTAGGTACTAGTTCCCAAACATGCAATCTAGCAAATTGCACAAGTTCATCTTGCATTGCATGCAACCACTCATCAACAGTTAAAGTTTCCTTATAGTTCTTTGGTTCTAGAAGAGAAACAAAAGCGTACTGACATGGACAATACTTACCTCGGGTGTGTATCCCTTCGTTCAGATCCCCGATAATTTGGGATGCTGGATGCCGTTTCTGTATGTGAGCAGGCGCCATTCTTTCTTCTGGTTGAATGGTTTGCTTCTCTGCAGTATCTTCATCTTCCTTTACACTAGCTTCATCATCTTCTGACTTCTTTTATTTCTCACTTGGTAAAGGAAGTAGGAAATCTATGTTTTCTGCATTCACTTTCTCATAGCAGGCATATTCATCAAATTTTACAAAAACAGATTCTTCCACTCTTCTTGTTCTTAGATTATATACCCTATAGGCTTGTCCCTTTATGGAATATCCAAGAAAGATTGCTCTCTCAGCTTTAGCATCAAATTTATACAGATGATCTTTGGTATTTAGTATGTAGCACTTACATCCAAAAGGATGAAAATAACTAAAAGGGTCGTTTGGATGAAGTGTTTGTATGAGTTATTTGGGTTCAAATAACTCACAATGAGTTATTTGGACGCAAATAACTCGTTTGGCAGCGTTTTACCGAAATGAGTTATTTGGACAGTGAGTTATTTACAAATAACTCAAAACGAGTTAT